ATCATTTTAAACAACTTTGTCTGATGAAGAAGCCAGTGGAGCTTTGAAAGCTTGCAACATGTATAATGTATATTTTGGCTAGTCCAATAAAGGTATCATGGTTTTGTGGATTTTGGATGATGCTGTACTTTGCTATACAGCCAACATCTCTCTCCCTCTCTCTCTCCCTCTCTTTGTTGTTGTTGTGTGCCTTCAAGTTGTTTCCAACTTATGGCGACTCTAAGGTGAACCTATCATAGATTTTTCTTGGCAACATTTGTTCCAAGGAGGTTTATCATTAATTACGCTATTTTTTTCCAAATTTATACCTCTACTATGTATGCCTCTTAGGCAAACCTCTGAGCAATTTTGTTCTCTTTTTGGCAATGCAGAACCCGGGCTTGGAAAAGTTACTGTTTTGATTACAAAACCCAGAATCCCCACTAGCCATGGTGGCTTGGGGATTCAAGGAGTTGTAATAAAAAAAGTAGTATTTCCAAGCTTTGTGCTGAACTGAAACCACCAGCTTGACCCTGGGCCTGTCACACTCTCTCAGCCTCAGAGGAAGGCATTGGCAAACCCCCTCTAGACAAATCTTGCCAAGAAAATCTCATGATAAGGTCACCATAAGTTGGAGTCAACTTGAAGACACATAGGAGTTTATCACATGGGGGACATTTGGAAGTATAAACAGTGATTAACCCATAATAATCCCACAATTGTGCTAATGGTTTTCACACGACGTTGAGAGGATACGTGATTAAAGTGCCGTTATTCCATGAATAACCAGGTAAGAACCAGCAGCAAATCATTCACGGGATTTTCCCGTGCATGACTTTTTGCTGTTTATTGCCTGGTTATTCCCTGGTTATGCACAGGATAATGGCTCTTATGTTAATCTCATTTTATTCATGTTTTAATGTCAATTGCACAATTTTCACAGGTTAATAAAACTCCTAATTTCATCCCCTGTGATAAACTCCCTAACGACAACATTTTAATGGTGGATTTTGTTTTCAAACACAACTTTGCAGTAGTCTGACTGAGTACTCAACCCCAAGTGATCCATGATAGCGAGTGATCAAACAGAAGGATAGTTTTCTGCTCTTTACCTCTGTAGCCGTTACATGCTTCTTCCCCTTCACATGAAGGAGGCGTTTGACATTGTACATGTTGGTCTCCACATGCTTGAAACCAGAAGCAATGCCTCCCTTCTTGTAGCTGTTGGAAAGAAAGAGGAATCAATAACAGTGAGTGTAGAAACTTTGCAACAGTGGTACCCCCTGCCCCACAAAGTGGACCTCTGGCCAGTTCTGGTTTGTATGTATATGTATATGTATATGTATATGTATATGTATATGTATATGTATATGTATATATGTGTAGCATTTTTGGCATTCCTGAAGCCCCCAAAGGCTGCAAGGGCCATACATTGGCCCTTCCAAGAGACTTTGGGATGTTCGAGCGGCTAGATAGCCGTTTTTGACATGAATTTGTGTGCATAACTCGATACCAGTATAACTGCTTGGTAGTATCTGCAGAAATGCATAGTTGCACATGTTTGATAGACAAGAAAAAAATAAATAAAGCAGAGTGGCCATGGATATGTGGCCAAAAACGCTGGCTGGTGCACTGCCATTTTATTGCAAAGCAACGTCACAATGGGGGAACATGTGGCCACATGTTGAATTAGTTGCAATTTGTCTTGGTGTCTTTCGTAATAGATAAGACCAAAGTTGCTGCGAATTTGGAAAACCTGGGGCCCACCTGGATTTTAGGGTAAATGTAGACTTGTAAATGTAGAGAGGATAATGTGAAGCAGCCCTATATAGGGACAACCTGAAATGTTGGATTTCTGCCTCCCGGACAATATGAGATCTTCTGGGAGCCTGGATTTCTTGTGAGAAATCCTCCTCTCAAGAGATTTGAGATGGGTTTTACATAGGCTGGCTTCCCAAATACCTGCCATCTTGAGCTAAATGGGCAACATGAGAGGTTGTCCCATATGGGGTCAGAGAAAATGGACAACCCTAAGCTTTTTTCTACATAAACAGCAGCAAAGGATGGGCAGGATACGTATTTGCAGCCCTCCAGTTAGTTTTGCAGCTCCTGGGGAGCGTACCTCGGTGGAATTTGGCAAATTTGATACCTTATGATATAGGGCGGAATATAAATATTTTAATAAGTAAACTAAATAAACAGGTTGTTTTATGAAAGTATATTTTCGTGAGCAAAGGAAATGGAAATCTTTGCTTTCAGAAGTCTCTTTGAAAACACGATTCTTCACTGAACCAAGGTGTGTGATCGACATGCACTATGTTTTAACATGAAAACTCAGGGGTTTTAGCAACTAGAAATGTGGGGGGGAACAAGTTGCTACAACGGTCCAAAATACACTGCAGAAATAATCCAGTTTGAGACTGTTTTAACTGTCCTGGCTCAGTGCTAGAGAATCCTGGGAATTATAGTTGTCACACTAGAGCTGTCTTACAGAGAAGGCTAAATATCTCACAAAACTACATTTCCCAGAATTCCCTAGTGTTGAGCCAGGTCAGTTAAAGCAGTCTCAAATTGGATTATTTCTGCAGTGTGTTTTGGACCAATGTTACAAAATTTTGGCACCACTGTGTATGTGTTTTTCCTTCATCAGGAACTGTAGGAACATACATACATCACATACATAGTACTTTGCATACATACTACTTTGCAACTTTTTGCAATTACTTTGCAACATATATACTACTTTGCAACTTTTTATGAATCCTGACTTCAATTCCTTTTTTTTTAAAAAAAAAGAACGATTTACTAGTCCTCATTGTTGTTCATAATATTTTAGAGCAGGGGTAGGCAACCTTTCCCCTTTAAGGGCCGAGGAACTTCAGCTCCCAGAAGCCTCAGCCATGTTGGCCTATGATCCCATGTTGGCCAATAGCTCCTGGGATTCTGGGAGCTGAAGTCCCTCGGCCCTTAAAGGGGAAAGTTTGCCTACCCCTGTTTTAGAGCAAAGGAAAGGTGACAGAGGTCTGGATATGAGGAAACATTTCAGAAGCTGAAAGTCACTGAGTTTTATTGGCTGCTCCTGCAGAAGTCCCAAGAAATTAATTGGACTCTCTCATGCATATGTTTTTCCCCGTTACTCACATGATGCCTTTCTTGAAATAACTTTTAAAGGCTGCTGACTCATATCCTTGCACTTCTCGGTGCTGCACAGGGTTCCCACCAAGCAGATCATCTAGCTGAGTCACGTAGAAAGCAGCTGCCCCTTGTTCATCCGGAGAGGAGTCACGCCCAATCCAGTAGTGCAGGTCGGTGGCAAATCCGGTCCGTGTTTTTGTGTTCTATAATGGAAGTGGCATGGGATTAAAGAATGAACAAAGACATGGTCCTGGGTTACTCCGAGAGATTTGCATGATACCGAGACTAGCACAAGACACTGTTGCAAAAGCAGTAGTGTCAATAGGGGAGTGCTAGAGGTGCGGACAGCACCAGGTGACACCTCCAAAGGAGGGGTGACACCTGGTGAGCATCCTCTACCTACCTGCCATGTGCAATGGTACACCCCTGCCCCTACCCTGCGCAGCTTTACTTTAAAGTGGGTGACACCCAAGTGTGGGACTCCACTGTGTAAAAGCAGAGTTTAATAATAATAATAATAATAATAATAATAATAATAATAATAATAATAATTTATAGCCCTCCTCTCCCCGAAGGATCAAGGTGGATAACAATAATAAACTATCACAATGATATTAATTAAACATAATTCCCTAACCCCCAATTAAAATAGAATTAAAATAGAAAACTTCATAAAATACAATCAATTTACTAAAATCAATCTAAAATTAACCCTCATTAAATGAGGCATTGTGGGATGAGTAGAGCAACTCATCAACTCAACTCAGATGACATTCTCTGCTTTAGTTGCAAGGCCCTCGCAGCTGTTGAGTACATATGATGAAGTGTATGCATAAATGTTTACACACATACAACAAAGGTGTGTATGTTTGCACATGTATTGGTCTGTTTGTCTTTTGTTTCTGTTATTCATAATTTTCAACTTGCCCTGCTTTCAGAGCTCTAGAAGAGGTACCCCTTTTCATTTTCTCATCTTATCCTGCAACTCTAGGTGCATCCGCACTGTAGAAATAATGCAGTTTCGAACCACTTTAACTGCCATGGCTCCACCCTAAAGAATCGTGGGATCTGTGTGTGGCACCAGCACCCTTTGGCAGAGAAAAGGCTAAAGCTCTTGTAAAACTACAAACCCCACAATTCCATAGGATGGAGCTATAGCTCTTAAAGTGGGATGAAACTGCATTATTTCTACCGTATAGATTCACCCTCTGAGAGGTATATAAGGCTGGTGTCTACACCAGGCATTTAGCAACAACGGGGTCAAAATGAAGGTATTGCCCTCCCATTTGAATTTGCACCACCCATGAAATTTTCCTTCAGTCCCCAAATATATCCCATTGCAATAATTTAAAAAAATTCATTGAACCTTTTGCAATGCAGTTTATGTACCCAAAGAAAAAGGGCAGGACTCAGGCAGTGCAACAGCGCAAATATAAAAGTTCTAGGTGTGAACACTTTTTAACATCCCATTATTTGCAATGCTAGAAAATTGGGGATGGAAGGGATTTTCATGGGTGGGGATTTTTGTTTGGAGTGCCACAACTTTATCCCTGATCTACCCTGGTATCATCTACTGTGTTTCATAACTGAAACTTTTAATCCTGGGTCTCCCTGGTACTAGTGTTGCTAGATTTCCAAAACAGCAATAAGGGATTGTCAGAATTCATGACATCCAGGATTGTCAGTCAGGAAGCAGCTACTAACAAGTTGGTGTTCTACTGAAATGTGTGTGTGTTGTGCGCCTTCAAGTCATTTCCAATTTATGGCGATCTAAGGTGAACCTGTCATGGTGTTTTCTTGGCAAGATTTGTTCAGAGGCGGTTTGCCATTGCCTTCCCCTGAGGCTGAGAGCATGTCATTTGCCCAAGGTTCCCCAATGGGTTTCATGGCTGAGCTGGGATTCGAACCCTGGTCTCCAGAGTCATAGTCCAACACTCAAACTACTATGCCACATACCAAATAAAAATATTGATTTCAGTTAATTTAGCCATGTATTTCTCTGTAGAATTAACATACTGTCCACTTTCATAAATTACATGATGCACACATTTCTGTCATTATGAAGGGTCCTCAAATCCCAAAATTAAGTATTTATTTATTTATTTATTTATGCACCGTATATGGAAGGAAAAGCTTTCCAATCCTCCGATAGGGGACATCTCTTATAATAAGGGACATCTGCCTGCCGTACATAAGATAGGGTGGTGTAGTGGTTTGAGCATTGGACTGCGACTCTGGAGACTAGGGTTCAAATTCCCACTCAGCCATGGACATCCACTTAGTGGCCTTGGGTAAGTTGCACTCTCTCAGCCCCAGAGGAAGGCAAGGTCGAGCCCTTCCGAACAAATTTTGCCAGGAAAACCCCATAATAGTTCACCTTAGAGTCACCATAAGTCAGAAACAACTTGAAGGCACACATCAACAACAAAAATAAGTCATATAAGAGACACATTTTTCTAGACCTTATAATAAGGACACCTGGCAACCTAACCTGGTACTAGTCTGGTACTCTAACCACTCTATTACACTGCCTGGGACATTATGTAGAAACTGAACAATCAAAACAAATGAGCATCCTTCCTTCCTTCCTTCTTTCCGTCTTTTCTTCTTTCTTTCTTTTACAAAGAACAACTGTTGATCAAAGTTTTTGTTGTTGTGTGCCTTCAAGTCGTTTCCAGATTAAGGCGACCCTAAGGCAAACCTATCATGGGGTTTTCTGGGGCTGAGAGTGTGTGACTTGCCCAAGGTCATCCAGTGGTTTGCCATGGCCAAGCCGGGACTTGAACCCTGGTCTCCAGAGTTTTGGTCCAATGCTCAAACCATTACACCAAGCTGGTGTAGTAATTTACCAGGTTCTTTAAATTAAATTAATGGAGAGTAGGCTGTTCCTGATGCTCTCAGGGCAAAGTCCATAGCCCCAGTGCAGAGGAAGGCAACACAGAAACTTGCCAGGTGTCATCAATGGCAAAGATGGGATTAATGGCGAGAAACGCCACCCTCGGACTGGGTTACAGAGAAGCCTCCTGGGGACCCTCTTCCCCTCCTTTCCAATCCCTGGAGAACACTTGAGAGAAAACAGCACCAGGAAAACAGCACATGCTCCGACATGCATAGCAATAAAACTATTTTTCTCATGCTCCCTTGCTCTCTCCTACAAAATAAACATTCACCAAAGAGCTCTGCCTCCGGGTCACCATAGAGATTTGCCTATAGCAAAAGAGCAGTTTCGTGGCTACAGGGCAGAGAGGGAAGGGCTGTGCATGGTTCAGCTCTGAGCAAACCAAAGCTAAAGGCGTTTTATTCCAGCTGTAGCAAGAAACCTGGGGAACTAAACACACACAAAACTAGATTTTTCAGATTTGGCCTCACACCAAGGCAAGGGGCCTATTCACACTATACAGTTATAATGCTATTTTCCCACTTTACATGCTTTAGTTCCATCTTATGGGACCCTGGGCTTTGCAGTTTGGTGAGGTACTAGAACTCTCTGGATAAGAATATTAAATGCAGGAGCATCCCTAGACTGCAAATCCCAGGATTCCAGGGGATGGAAAGATACACATGTGCGTTCGCACACATTTACTTTTCTTTCTTCTTCTTTTTAAATTGTATTTTTTTATTGAGTAAACCCTGCAAATCTAAACCATCATTTACATATTTATAAATATACATATCTTTATTGTTCTAACACATTATTTCTCTGTCAATGAATATCTTCTTATACCATTCATCTTTGGAGATTACCACATGAGGTGCTAGTGGATGGAATTGAAATGGAATTACAATCTACGATTCCTCTCCTTTTCACACAGCGTCACTACTCATTTGTTGCTGATCCGTTGCTGATCCATCATTATACCATTATTATTGCACAATTTTGCATTAATGAGAGATACCTGTCAATGCAAAACTGCATAATAATAATGGATAACAACGGATCAGCAACAGATGAGTGACGACGTCGTGCAAAAAGGAGAGGAATCATTGGTTGTAATTCCACTTCAATTCCATCTTTAGTGCCTCGTGCGGGAATCTCCTTTATCGTCATATCACATCTTTCATCTTTCATATACTTGAATTATCTTACTTCTTTGCATGTACTTTTAATGGGGGGTTATTGTTATTTGTCAATATTGTTTTATTGTTTATTTTGGGGTAGTTTTATTTAATCTAATTTTAGATGTAAGCTGCTTTGATTGTCATTGTTGATGGATGAGGAACGCAGTAGAGGTTGACCAGGGTACTATAAACTGTTTTAATATGTTATTGTAACATGTTTTTTTTTGTGTTATGTTTTATTTTATGTTTATTGTCATTTTAATTATGCGCTATTTAATACTGTTTTAAGGGGGATGGGTTGGTTTGGTGGAATGATGTAGGGGTTTTATTTTATTGTAAGCCGCTTAGATTGCTGTCAATTAAGTGGGATATAAATAATAATAATAATAATAATAATAATAATAATAATAATAATGGCAAAAGACGGAATATAAAAATAAAATTTATTATTATTATTATTATTATTATTATTATTATTATTATTATTATTATTATTATTATTATTTTCTTCCCTGTACTTAAATCATTGCATTATCTTTCATAAAATTCCCATTCCTCTTCCTTTCTTCTTTATCCTCTCCCTTTCCTTCCTTCCTTCCTCATCTTTCCCTATGTTGCTCCCTCCCTTTTAATCTTCTAATCTTGTCCTTTCACTTCTGTTAACCTCTCTAACTTTTTCACTTACTCCAACTTTCAAATTACTTCCTCTCACCTTCTAAACACTAGCTCATACCATCTCTCACTTACTTTTCTCTTCCATCTTCCTTTCTCACACATTCGCTTTTCATGGCTCCGAAGACCAGAGAATGGGACCCTGGTGTTGAGACCCAAGAAACCATGTGTGTGTATGTATGATGCTCTGAGATACTGAAACACTAAAAATAAAATATTAAAACCCATTGTAAAAACAGCCACTCCACCTTCTCTTTCTCTGTGGATATCTTTCTTTCTCTGTGGAGGTCTGGATATTTTTCCAGCTCTCCAGATGTTCTCAGACTGTAACCCCAGCATCCCTAGCCAGCATACTCTGTGGAGAGGAATGCTGGGAGCTGCAGCCCAATAATATTTATAAATTTATTTTAAAAATGAATGCTGGGAGCTGCAGCCCAATAATATTTATGGATTTATTTTAAAAATGATAAAAATAATGTTTATAAAATAAAATAAAATATAAAACAAAAAGATAATGAAAGAATTGGAATACATGGAAGAAAGGACATGCAAAGAAATAAGATAATTTATTGAGAGTACAGTGGGCCCTACACATTCCCTGGGGTTAAGGGCACAGGACCCCCGTAAAAGTGGAAAAACTGCAAATACAAAAAAAAACCAAACACACACTTTTTTTTAATTAAGAGAAAACCTCTCTAGGAATCTCTAGGTCCTCCACTGCAACTCTATGGTCAACATCTGCCAGAAGTTGGCCATAGAATTGAACTGGAGGACCTACAAATGCCTAGAGAAATGTTCTCTCTAGAAATCTCTAGGTCTTCCTGTGCAACTTGTGGGGGATGTTGACTATAGAGTTGTGCTGGAGGATTCCTAGAGAGAACATACCGTATTAATCAAATCTGTGAATAATCAAATCCGCATAAGTCAAAACCACAAATGTGGAGGGCAACTGTACTGATACCCCTCTTTTCGGCCAAAACAGCTTCCAGAGTGGCTTGCAAATCATTCATCTGACACTTCCCTGCCTTTGGGGTTACAATCTAAAGAAGACATGACACGTAATAAAAAGGAAATGGCAGTGAGGAAGGCTTAAGTCAAGCAGATGCTGGCTGCTCTTCTCTCCCTCGGAGGCCAGAGCAATGGTAGCTGGAACATAAAGGGAGGGTTTCTCACCAGCTGATGGATCAAGGAATAATGGAGCTATGTCTTGCTTCTCCTCTTTCCCTCAGAGGCTAAAGTGGTGGAACCAGCTGGAACCAGTGGCGCCACTAGGGGGCGCAGGGGGTGCGGATCACACCAGGTGACACCTTAAAAGGGGCTGACGCCACTGCTTCTCAAATACCTTCCTTTTGGCAGAAATGGGCTGTGGCATTCATCTGCTTCCCTTTAAAATGCTTTAAGAGATGCTGGAAGTGGGGTGAAGCTCAGTGGGAGGAGAAAGGAGAGGCCCCAGAATTTTTTAAAATTAAAATTTCAAATTTCAAACTTTTAATTTTTTAAAAAAAATTGAATTTTTTTTATTCTTTTAAAATTTTCTTTAAAAACACCACATTTTAACCAAATCTTCACTATGTATATGTCAATACATTTAGGTTGTGCATATCATATTGTCATTTGAAGGTATAATTTTAATTTTGCTAGTAGTTTGTACACCACTGAATGCAACTATTAGCATTGCATTCAATGGTGTATGGGAATTACGATTTACGAGTGACATTAGTGCAAAAAAGCATTACTAAGGATTCTGTTTGGTGTGGAATGGGAGGAGGAGGTCATTGGAGGGATGACACCATGAGTTACTGCACTGGGTGACACCAACCCTAGAGATGTCTCTAGTTGGAACTTGAACGGAGACCCTCTCACCAGCTGCTGGACCAAGGGATAATGGAGCTGTGCCTGGCTGTTCTTCCCTCCCCCAGAGGCCATAGCCATGACAGTTGGAACATGGAGGGAGGGGCTCTCAATAATAACATCTGGAGGTCCGCATGATTCCCACCTCTCCACAAAATGAACAATACAATTGTCTCTCCGTTTTTGTGGACTTGAAGTCCGCGACCCTTGCTTATCCACAAGGGATGAATGGAGGGGCACAAAATGGGGCTCATGCCCGTGGCGTTTGCCCACTTGCCCCTGTGGTGCACGCACGCTCACCCGTTCGCCCCCACGGACACGTGTCTCCATTCAAGCCAGTAGGGTTTGAATATTTGCATTTTTCCTTTTTCATTGGGGTGGGTGGGTGGGGGTCTGGAACGGATCCCCTGCAAAAAAGGAGGGGCGACTGTACTGTTCTTTCCCCTTCTTTCCCCACCCAACTCCATGCCTATTATCAGAGCTACTTACATTTAAGATGATGTAGCAGTCCCCTTCAAAGAAACTCCCATAGGCCTTCTCAGGAACGGGCACCATTTTCATTTTCTAAAATAAAAAGCATAAACATACAGTTCATAAAGTTGGCCCTCCATATCCAGGGATACTTCATCCACAAATTCAATCATCCATGGCTTGAAAATATGCCTAAATAAATAAATAAATAAAT